AAAAATCTGGAGACACTATCTGTATGGTACGAAGAGCACCATCTATACCGACCACAAAAGCCTCCAACACATATTCAACCAGAAGGAGCTCAATATGAGACAACGACGGTGGGTCGAGCTACTCAATGACTACGGATGCGAAATTCGTTATCATCCGGGTAAAGCCAATATGGTAGCAAACGCCCTAAGTCGGAAAGAATATTCTGGTCGAAGAGTCAAGTCATTAACCATGACTATCCATTCGCATCTATCCACACAAATCAAGGAGGCTCAGCTCGACGCCTTGAAACCTGAAAATGTAGCAGGAGAGTCCCTACGAGGAATGGATAAAAACTTGGAGGTAAAGGGTGACGGAGCCTTATATCTCATGGATCGGATCTGGACACCGAAACACGGTGGCTTCAGAGACCTGGTCATGAAAGAAGCGCACAACACTCGATATTCCGTCCACCCAGGTTCAGATAGGATGTATCTGGATCTCAAGAAATCATACTGGTGGCCTAACATGAAAGCGGAGATCGCTACCTTCGTGAGTAAATGCCTTACTTGCGCCAAGGTCAAGGTCGAATACCAGAAACCATCAGGCTTACTCCAACAACCAGAAATACCTGAGTGGAAGTGGGAGCGGATCACTATGGACTTCATAACCAAGCTACCCAAGACAACGGGTGGACTTGACACCATATGGGTCATCGTCGATAGATTGACCAAGTCCGCACACTTCCTACCCATCAAAGAAACCGACAAGATGGAAAAGCTCACAAGAACATACATTAGGGAGATCGTACGACTGCATGGTGTTCCTATATCTATTATCTCCGATAGAGATAGCAGATTCACTTCGAGGTTCTGGCAGTCACTACAAAGCTCCCTTGGAATGAGGCTGGACATGAGTACAGCCTATCATCCTCAGACCGACGGACAAAGTGAGAGAACCATCCAAACTCTGGAAGATATGCTGCGAGCCTGTGTGATCGACTTTGGTAAGGCTTGGGATACCCACTTATCCCTTGTCGAATTTTCCTACAACAACATAACGTTATCACACGAGCATCAAAGCTGCTCCATTTGAAGCCCTCTACGGCCGGAAGTGCAGATCCCCTCTGTGCTGGGCTGAGGTGGGTGACACTCAATTAGCCAAAGGACGAGTTCCTGACAGCACTCTCACGGGTCCTGTGATCATTCGGGAAACGACAGAGAAGATTGTTCAGATTCGTGAACGATTGAAAGCCTCTAGAGATCGACAGAAAAGCTACGCAGACAAACGAAGGAAACGTCTGGAATTCCAGGTGGGAGACCGAGTCCTTTTGAAAGTCTCACCCTGGAAAGGCTTGATACGCTTCGGAAAGCGTGGAAAGCTAAATCCAAGATACATTGGGCCTTTCGAGATTCTCGCTAGAATCGGCCCCATAGCTTACAAATTCAATCTACCTCGCGAGCTTAGTAACGTACATCCTACCTTCCACGTCTCGAACTTGAAAAAGTGCCTATCTGACGAGACTCTTGTAATCCCACTCGACGAGATCGAGATCAACGATATCGTCAACTTCGTGGAAGAACCTGTGGAAATTATGGACCGGGAGGTCAAGCGAACGAAACAAAGCTGCATCCCAATTGTGAAGGTTCGCTGGAACGCCAAGCAAGGACCGGAGTTCACTTGGGAGCGCGAGGATCAAATGAAACTTAAATATCCTCATCTTTTTACGTAGTTATTGTATAATAACATAGTTGCTTGAACTCTAATTTCGGGACAAAATTCCCTCTAACGGGGGGATGATGTGACAACCCGAAATTTTCATTTGTATAATTTCCACAGTAAAACACTGCTATTATCAGTCAAAAACATTTCAGTACATTTTTGGCCGGATTTAAGTCCGTTTGGTGAATTATTTTATTTTGCGTCAAACGATTTAATAAAATAAAGTGTCGTTATTAGTGAGGTGTAACAAACCGAACAATCAACACATTAACTAAGAGTTTGCGGCCAAACAATTGGTGTTTGGGCCGTAAACCCCAAATTTTCCAAGACTCATGCATATAGTATGAGTTTACACTCCTTACCCTCACTTTACACTTCCCACCTCAAGAACAAAAGGCTTCTCTCTCAAGTATCATAATTTCATCTCTTCAAATCCGCCAAAATGTAAGTGTTTCTACCCTAGATTCTTTCCTATAACACTTAATCTAGTGTTTTTACAACATTTCATCCATGGATTTTCGATTTTTACATAGATCTTCAAGTGATCTTCAAAACACCAAGAACACCAAGAACACACACTAGTGTTCTTGGGTCCTAAACACTTCTACAAGCTTCCTATAAGTAAGTATACTTCCCCTAGCTAGTTATATGCTTAGTATGCTTATTAACCCATGGATTAAACACCAAAACCCCCCAAGAACATGGGTTTACGGTTTGGGGATCTCCCAAAACCGTAAACACCCCCAAAAGGGGTTTTGATGCCCCAAACTCCTTCCAATGCTTTGTTAATGAACTAGGAACTTGCATGAATGATCTAAGAACCCCAAAACACGAAAAGGATGAAGTGGCCAAGGGTTTACGGCCGTAAACTCTAGGGTTTACGATAGTAAACTCCCAAGGAGTGGTCCAAGGACCGCAAAGTCCAAGGGAGTACCATTTGGAGCCCTAATCACTTCTTAAGCCTTTGATTTGATCTTAGAACCCTTCCTTGTGATACATGAGACCTTTAAACACACAAACACACCATTCCCATGAGTTTACGGCCGTAAACTCATGGGGGAAATGGTCTCTCAATCGTAAACACACATAGGGGTGACCATTTGAGGTGTAAACTCCATAGTGAGGCCATACACTCCTTAGATGCAACCATTAGCACTCCTAGCACTTGAAACAAAGTGTTTTCATACTTTAGAGTGCCTTTACCTACTTAATTAGTGATTAAATAACTAATTAGATACATTTATGTATCACTACATGTTACATAGGATCCATGTGTGTGTTCAAGTCCTCACTTGACACCTAGCATCCTACTCAGCACTTCCATCCACTTCACTCACTGCAGGTGAGTTCATACCCCTAAATTAACCTTTTAAATGATTTTAAATGCTTTTATGGGGGGGAATATAAGTTGAACTGCTTTAGTTATGATATCAATCACATGTGATTAATAACTAGAACAGACTACAAGATTTGCCAATACTTTCAAATTACCATCAAACTTGGATTTTCAAAGTGTTTCAAACCTTTTATCAAACTCTTTAAATTCTAAAACTGTTTTCAAACTCTTTTAAACTTGTTTTATTCTCAAACCCATATCCACACTAATATATTTATATAAGTAAGACTTGAAGGACTTAGTACTGATAGCTCACCTTATTTCCTGTTCCTTGTTTGGTTGTGGACTTAGGGTATTCTGTTATCTGTCCGACTGTCGTTGAATTCTTAGTTATATATCATATATATTTGTGTGGATATAAAAGTCTACACTTCAGTTCAGTACCTTTGTGTAACAAAGGCATACTACCAACATTACTATTTAACTATAATAGGTATAGTTAAGGATTACTACTCATTACTACTATTACCATGACATCTACCAAAGTCAGTACAGTATGAGTCAATACATGCTAAATACTATACAAAGAGAATACTATATACTATACAAGAGGATACTAAATACTATACAAAGAGAATACTATATACTATACAAGAGAACACTCTATACATTATACCAGGAAGTACATTATACATTATACAAGAGAACATACTAAAACATAATGTGACATACTATTTCTCGATACGACACTTCATTGTGTTATCACCGTGTAACCAGAGTCTCCTGGAGGGAGAGCGGGCATTGTGTGTATAGATCTATACGGGACAGACACTCCCACATCCCGACTGCTAGCTACAGTCTGAGCCGAAAGGCCAAGGGGTGACAAAATGTCACATCACTACATATGACTCGGAGGGTCATCAGGATTCGATCGTCAATCAGCATGGTTACATACGAGTTCACATTCAAACCTTTAATTTATATAGTTAGAATTAAAGGCAAAACAGGCTCCCCGAGGTGTATTATACATTTAATACTACCTCGAGTCTTCATTTTCATTTCATATAGCCAGCAGTGCTACTGCTGGGGTAGAACATTTTTTTCCCAATTCCTTTGCATAAACGAGGTCTAAAACTATATTTTTCATATAAATAGTTTAACTGGGAAAACTTTTACATTTTCAAAGAATCAAACAGGCAAACAACCGGGTCTTGGTAGAAGACTACTTTTACTGGAAAACATAGGGTTTTCTAGGGAGCATACTAGTTTCAAACATTGAGATCAGTTATCATTCTACATTGTTGTAAACATTTTTATACGAGCAAAGACACTAAATACTTATGAACTCACCAGCTTTATGCTGATACTTGTTTTTAAAATAACTTGTATTCTCAGGTCATCAGTAGACAGGTACAGATGCAGCTTTTGAGAAGATGGAGCACATACAAGACTCCTCTTTATTTTGATTATACTTTTGGTGTCTTACAAACTGTACAGAACACGCTTGTATTACAATTATTATATTAATGCAATGGATGTTGTTGCTTGTTTTTACTATTATGCATTGTTATGATACTGCACATGACGTCCTCCACCCCAGAACGTATTTCGCCGTTCTCGGTTTTGGGGTGTGACAAACGAACTTTTATTACTGGAAAGGGCAAATGTCATATTAGCCCATCGAACTTATCGTGTTTGTTTTAAAATGTCACCCAACTTTTTTTTTGGTATATTAAGGGAATGAACTATCGTTTAACCTGTTAAAAAAAGTCACTTAACCCTTTACAACAGGTTTTAATCTCAATGTAGCCTCATTTCAGTTTCTTATATTGAAATCATTCAATCAATCGGAACCGTATCCTTTAAAATAAGAGTCTGACCATTTCCGAGTGAAAAACATTTTCATAAAATAGGAATATATGAAACTCATCATCTATATGCAATCCACGAGCAATTGCATTAACCCTAATCTGGTGCTTCCCAAACTCCATAGCTGATGTCTGATCATACAAAAACAAATCAAAGTTGCTATTAGGATTTTAGCATAGAATTTTACTTCTTTATATCATTTATAAAACGGATTGAAAGGGATACAAAGATCAAAGTTACTTACTCTGACCAACTGATGAATTCCACCCAAACAAGCACCATACCACCAATTATCGAGGTCATGAATACGATCGATCCTCCTGATTTGTTATCCCTCATTCTTTTCGCAACAGCTTTCATCATATACCTTCATAAGTATAGCAATTTACTAGAGCATCCACTTTCCCCAAAATACTCCAGGTTTTCTCCACGACTTCATCAAATACCGACTCTCTCTCTGATTCCATATCTAATCCAACGATTTCAATAGCAACTTCCTTCAGATCGTTGGTGATCCAATCCGCAACGCCCTTGATGACCTTCTCGTCTCCCACTAACACTAACCTAAACAAAGAAATAACTACATAAGAATTAGTTCAATTCAGATTTCAGAGGTGAAATCCAATCGAAATTTTAGGCGCAAACATACCTGCATCCGCGTTTTGCTAAATGATAAGCGATGTTTCGTGAAACCGCATCACCGTTGACGGTGAGTAAATGCGAATGTTCAATAAATCAAGGGTTCAGAAGGATTGAAAACGATGGCGATGAAATTAGACTTACGCTCAAATTGGACTCAGAACCTTGAAGGCGAATTGAAACATTTATTAGGCCGATCGACAATGGCGATACCAGCATCACCCCCATCGTCTACAACTCCATGCTCGAGATCCTTAGCCAAACTAGTTTGTATCAGGGCTCTAAAAGGGTTAAGACATATATTTTACAGGCTTACCCGGTATCAGGTCACATAAGGATGTTTTAAAACAGGAAAACAATAGTTCATTCCCTTAATGTACAAAAAAAAAGTTGAGTGACCTTTTAGAGCAAACACGATAAGTTGGATGGGCTAAAATGACATTTGCCCTACTGGAAACTTATATACATGTTTTAGCAATGAAATTGTTTGCTCCTTGTAGCAACGAACTTGATTGCTCATTTTGCAATGAAACTTGTTTACTCGTTTCAGTAACAAACTTTATTTCCCATGAGAATATGAACTTTGCATCTCATTTGGGCGACATACTTTATCTCTCATGATGACAACGAACTTTGTTTATATAAACTTATTTACTCATTGTAGCAATATACTTTTATTTATGGAAACTTTTATCAAAAATTTGATTTCGATTCATGAAACCAATAATATTTTTTTTATCTGTGAGTACTCACCAACTATTTTTATAGTTGATGCTCATTTTACATGCTTTTTCAGGAATCATCGAGTAAGTGGCACTTAGGGACACATCACCTTTAGGAGCATTTGCATGTGTTGTATTTCAATTTACATTGTAATTTCTTTTAAAAGTTGTTCAAACCCATTGTAAAATTGTAATGATTTTTAATACTATGGTTGGTGTTGCTCTTTTAATACTATGGTTGGTGTCCGAGGGCTAGGGCCGAATCTTCTTGGCTAGACACGAAAGTCCCATCAGAAGCGAAAGTGAGGTTCGCATCAGAAGAGTTTCGCCTCAGGAGGGTTTCGCTTCTTAAGAGGGTTTCGTTTCTTGAGAGGGTTTCGCTTCTTAAGAGGGTTTCGTTTCTTGAGAGGGTTTCGCTCCCATTGAGTTGTTTTTCATATTTTCTTCCCGTTTCAAGTGATTATCAACCAATTGAAGGGTCGGGATGGTACAGATGTTTATGAAAAAGTTAAGAAAGGTTTGAGAGAGATTTGGGAGAGAGAGATAGAGTGAGAGAGATTAAGAGAGACTTTGTCGGTGGCCTTTATTAGTGTTTGGCCCCGTAAGGCAAGGTTTGTAAACCCCATTATGCCTTGTTATGAGTGTTTTACGCCCATGAAGAGGTACATAATAGCACTTTATCTAGACGATGCATCACTCACTTCGCTTAGGGTTTAGAATTTATGAACTTATGAAACTTCCGAGTAACACTTAGTATTAAGATAGAGATTTTGTACATTAGTAAACATAGAGTACGCCCTATCATGCAAGCACTAGTTGAGTTTACCGGTTTGACTCGTTGACTTTATTTGACTTTGACTTGACCAGAAATTGACAGGTGTCACATCACCCCCCCCCCCCCGTTAGAAGGAATTTCGTCCCAAAATTAGCATATCGAATGGGACTTCAAGGGTTGGGGAAAATATATGGGTGTTTTTGTTTCATCTGATCTTCTCGATCTCAAGGGAATTCTGATCCTCGCTTGGCATTCCGGCGGACCTTCACTGTTGCGTCTACTATTTTGACCGGTAGAGAGTGTGTGGGTTTGGGTTTTACATGTCTAGGTTCATCCGAATGGTAGGATGTCCACTTGTAGACCTGGGCAGCTTCGTCCTGAAGTTCATAGTAGGACTCCTACCTGGTTCTTCTAGCATTGCCTCGTGTACACAAGTCGAATATAATTAAGATTGATAAGATGGTCGGATGGGTAACTTTGCCTTAAGTCCACAACCAGACAAAGAACAGGAGGGAAGGCGGAAACACACATCCTAAGTCCATAGAATCTTAATTAAATACCACTCTCACGAATACACTTAATGGTGATTGGCTAACCGTATTTGTCCTTAGCCTCTATGCTTGAACTTGACCTGCTGCCCCAGTAGTATTCCCGAAATGTCTGTTGGGAACACTTTGGAAAAGTTTCGGAAGACATATTACTCCTCGTATGAGTACTTCTAGGTTTTGAAGCAAGAGACGATTTGGGGTTGGTGTCGGGTTTGTTGTTATGAGTGACGAGGGTTTCATTAATCGGTCGGTTAAGGCGAAGGATCCTTTCGTAGCACCTATGATTAATGTGGTGAAGACTACACTAATCCATGTCGAATGACGACGTCGGAACTTGTTATTGTAACTGGTGTTAAGTCTATTTGGAAGAGATGCTTGTTAGAGCGATAGTGTATTCTATGCTTAAGTTTCTAGTGGTTTCAGTTTTATCCTTGTTATTACTACTGTGAACATTTGGTACCACGTTTAGCGAGTACTAACAGTAAGAGTGTTCCGATGGATAGTGATGAAATTTCATAATATGATTAATATTTAGCTGGTAATAGTTTTTGTAAAAATATTAAGTTTTAGCATATTTTCATTTGGGAAACGTACCGCTGTCCACAGGTGGTTCCGGAAGAGTCTCTCCTGCGGTGATCATCAGCACTCTTTTATCCCCACCAGAGTTCCTTGTTATTGGACAGCCCCTCTTGAAGTGTCCAGTTTCACCACACATGTAACAAGCCTGGCTTACCCCAATGCCGGTGACCTGGGAGATTGGTTGTGCCGGTGACCTACAGAAACGGGCAGTGTGCCTCTTCTTGTTGCAGTTTTTACAATGCATTACTCGGAAAACTTCTGTGTGATAGAAGTTGCACTTGGGAAGGTTTCCAGCATATCGACTGGGCGGTGCCGGAGTGGCAGATGTTGTGGCTGCAAGGACTGCCACGAGTTGTGGTCTCTTGGGAGGACCTTGAGTCGAACTATTCCTTTTCTTGTTCCAGAATTTTCGTTTCTTATTCTTAGGTTTTTGTTCTGAGGTGTACTTGGATCCCTTGTCAGCGGACACTAGTCGGTGCGCTTGGTTGCTATTGCGGTTATCATTTTCGGTACCGTTTCCGTGGCCGCTATATTTGTTAGTGTTGAGTTGCGCCATGATGGCTGTCACGGCGGCTGTGACCGCAGCTTGAAAAGTAGCGGAGTCTATCTGCAAAATTGGTGTTTCGCCGGTTGGCTGGTTACTTCCTTGGGAAGGCATGATTCTGCGGCATGATGAGAAATGAGCTCGTTAGCAACTATGGTCGTTTCCAGCCATTTTCCATCTATTTATATACATAAATATATAAAATTTTCGTTTTGTTGAACTCCTCACGAATTTCCTGCCAACATCCTTGAGATGTACTTATGGTAGGGAGTAGAAGTAGGTATTTACAAGCGTTAGGTTTACTAAAAAAAACTATGGGTGCCCATGGTTTTCTTCGTGGTTAGGGTGGTTAGCGCCATTACCCAACCCACTGGTACCACTTGCGTGGATTTGAGTCACGGAGGCTGATACAACGGTCTGAAAGATAATAGTGTCGTACAGTGGAGGATTTGTTGACGTGTTGTTGAGAGCGCGCCTTATAGGTCTATGGGGAGGCACCCTTCTACCGTGAGGTTTTTAAAAGGTGGAATGGTGGTAAGTCCTTAGTAGTGGTTATAAGTCGAGTGTCGTTTGAACTAAGTTATCTTAGTTTTGTGTGTATCATGTTCCGACTTTCATAGTGTTTTGAAAACAATTCATAACAAAGGTCTATGACAATAGACTTATGAATTTTTACTAGTAACAACCCTCAAATGAAATTTCGTGACTTGATTCACTGTTACTAATTGCGATGAAAGAGGCAATTAGTCTAACACATAGTGTGAGTAGTATAATCACTAACTCACTATTTATATTTGTTTATTAGTTATTAGTGTGACGCATAAGGATCTCGGCCTCCTCACGTGATTTGCGAATAGTCTCTTTTGCTCTCTGTCCTAGTTGTGAGTGCCCTAGTTGTAGTTGTAAGGGTTCGTTTTCTCCCGGAATTCCTATGGTGTTATCGTTCCTATGATTGCTCTAAACTAGACTCAAACGCCTGAGCGGTCTCTCCAGTTTGTTTTTTGATAGGGTAATGTTCGTTAGGGCTCTCTCTAGTGCCTTTCTCTTCGTCCGATCCTTTCTCGGAATTCTCCTCGTGAACCCTCTTTTGGTTCTTCCTTGACTCCTCTGTTGGCTGTGGTAGTGGGGTTATGATGTCTAGATATGTTGTGTGTACGAGGATTGGGGTGTATGAAGAATCTATGAGATTTAACCAAAACATTTCTTATATATTTTTATGGGGGTGATCCTTACCGTATCCTTCTAAAATCACGTAGTGTATACCGATTATATATAACCAAGATCTGATAGACATTCGAATGAGTGATCCTACTCTAAGACCACAACCAAACAAGGAACAGGAAGTAGAGAGAAAATCACAAATTATAAGTCTATAAAATCTCAATTATATATGATCTTAACGTATACCCTTGGTAATTATAGACCTACCAGGAAAGGTCTTTTAGTTTTCACATAAGTTAGTTATAGTGCCAAAAATACTCCTATAGTATTTTAAACTTTATGTTTGGTTCTAGTATTCCTTTGTATTAGAGTTGGTAAGTTCTAGACTTGTTGCGACACCACTATCACTCCCAAAAACATGTTAGTCGTATCTTAAATAAATATAGTTGATCAGGCTGTATTTATCCCAGATATGATTACATAATTGTCTAGGTTTGACTGTAGTGTCCAACCTCTAAATACTTTTGTTTTGTTCTTCTTGTGATTTTGTTCTAGTATGTATGTATGTATGTTCGTATACTTCTCATAAAATACTTATATTTTAAAAGTATACGTTTAGTCAAAGCACTTCGGCCCCTTTGTATTTATAGTTGTATATCTTCTTATGGGTTGATATACTGAGTTCACTATAAACAATGCTCTGATACCAATCTGTAACACCCCCAAACCGAGACGGCGGAAACGTTCGGGGGCGAAGGACGTCATGTACAGTATCATCACAATTGAATAATAGTAATCAAATCAACAACAACCATTGTATTGATATCATAGTGTTTACATTTTATTTGAAGCATAGCTTGAATGACTTCCAAATGTATATAGTAAAAACTAAGACTAAA